GGGGAGCAGCACCCCGAGGACCCACGGAAAGCAAGGGGACGGCGGGGGCCCCTGGCACCTCCCCCCACCGCCCCCCGCCCCGCCCCAGGCAGCCTGGCCGGGGTTTCTTGGCAGCTCTGCTCTCGCTCACGGGCCGCTGCTCTGGGGTGAGGAGGGGGCAGGGTCCCTCCACCTCCACAGAGAAAATGAAAGGAAGGAAAGGCCCCGCCCCACCCCCCAGGTCGGGCTACTTCCACTCTAACTGTGCTGGGGGGGTGGGGAGGGAGCCAGGAGCCTGAGGCCCCAGGGCCCAGCGGGGACAGGTGGGGGGGCTCCCCGGCTCCCCTGGCCTCTGGCAGTGGCCACCCACCCTGTCCCCAGGCTCTGCTCAGGCAGGGCCTCGGACACTCCTGTCCCCTGGCCGGGCCCGGGCAGCGGCCGCCTGCAGCCAGAGGCCCCACGGGGAAGGCTCCAGGGCCAGCGCGAGTGTGACCACGCCAGAGCACAGGCGGCGGCACCAGGGCCTCACAGGGGCTTCCCCACCCACTGGCCATTGAACTTGACCTGCTTTCTACGGGCTGTGCCAGGGAGCAGGGCATGGGAGGTGGGGATGCTGCCGGTGCTGCCTTGACCTGACCTGCGTGGGGGTGGGGCCGGGGGCACCCCTGGGGGTGTCCCTGGGTAAAGAAGGGGGAGGGGCTGCTTGGGGCCCAGGCTGGCTCCTCCCACCCTCCCTCCCCCCAACCCCTGGACCCTCCACCCAGGACTCCTGCACCAGAGGGGCTTGCACCCCTGGACACTCTGCCTCTGACCCCTGCACCCCGGTCTGCACCCGGGACCCTGCACCCCGGGGACAGTGCGCTCCCCCTGCACCCGGGACCTTTGCACCTCTGACCCCGGCGCGCGGGGACCCACCTGGGGCCACGCCAGGGACGCCCTCGTTGCTCTGGTTAAATTCGAAAAGGAAATCAAAGTCGAACTCCTGGTCCTCCGGCCCCGTCATGACGGAGGGGCCGGTCCGGAGTCCGGGGTCAGGGTCCAGGGTCTGGGATCGGGGTCCAGGATCGGAGCCGGTCCGGGATCCGGGTCCGGGATCGGGGGTCACTGCCAGGGTCGGAGGTCCAGGGTCAGGGCCGCGGTCCGAGGTCGGGTCTGGGGCGCGAGTGCGGTGGGCGGCCGGGCTCGGCAGGGTCCCGGCCGCGGGCACCTGTGGTCGCCGCCCGGCTCGCTGCGCCCTGCGCTCGGCCCGTCCCGGTAACGTGACTCCGGCCGCCCCTCCCCCGCTGGCGCTCCGGCCCCTCCCCCGCGTTTCCGGGTTCACACAAACAAGACTCCGCGGCTGCGTCCCGAGTTTTAAATAAACTCCGGAGCCGGAGCGCACGCCTGTCACTCGCGGCCCCGCCCCGGCGCCCCGCCCGCGGGCGAGACCCCCAGAGTGTCCACGTGCGCGGGGAACACGGTTCCTCCCAGGACTCCCACGCGCCCCGCCGACTCCTCCGTGACATCAGGTGGCGCGGAGAGCAGTGCCCGTGCCCGGAGTGACCGGACACTGTGGGCAGGCTCACTGGCCGCCCGCGGCTTCGCGACTGTTAAAGCGCGACCACCACCCGCCCTCCTCCCCTGGGAGGAAGGGGGTGGCGCGTCCCACGAGGCCGGACCCACCCGGCTGGACCCCCAGCGCCCCCCGCCGCCGGCCCCGAGGCTCAGGGCGGCGCCGAAAGGAAGTGCAGGCGCCCCTCGCGCCCCAGCCCCCGTGTGCGCCGGCCCCGCGGCCTCCTCGCCTCCGGTGGCGGCGTCTGACTCCCGGGCCCGAGCCTCTAGGGCGGATCTTCCCCTCGGTCACACCTCCCCGCAGACCCCCAACCTCCTAAGAGCACTGCCCCCTCCTGTGCGCGCAAAACAGCCCCCTCTCCGCGGCGGCAGCGGGAGGCTCGGGGCTTGAACCCCGGGCAGGCGCAGAGCAGCGCGGGCCGCCGGCATCTAGCACCGCGGGCCAGGCCCGGGCAGCGGCAGTCGCCTTCGGGCTTCCTCCAGCTGCTCGTGCGCACCGCCCCCAGCGTCCTGGCCCCGCGGAGAGGCCGCATCTGCACCCGCGGGAGACGGTGGCGAAGGCTCCGGTGCAGGGGGCACGCGCTGGGGGAGTCGGGGGACAGAAGGGGCGGTGCCAGGTCCCGCCCGCAATTCTGTTGCTAATCGCCCACCCTTCCGCCCCGACGGGCCTCTGCCCACCCCCCCAGCCACCCCGCATTGCTTTTTCCGGAAGATGAGACCCCCGCTAGTCGCGTGACCCCTCCCGCACCCCCAACGTGTGTCTCCCGTGACCCTGTGCAAAGGGCTGGCTTTCTCCCGCGATAAAGTATAGTTCACTTTGGCCTGATTTGGTTTCTAATAATAGTTCTCAGTTTGCGACGTACGGTGGAGGGTTGTTTTGTTTCAGTTTGCCGTTTCTGCTGACCTTCAGGCAAATGAAGTCCTGTGTTCTGTCGAGAAGGGAACATCTCATTTTGTCTCTTTTCGGTGTTTATTTTTCAACTTCAGCTACCTTTTCACCTCCGCAAAAACCTGACACACGGCTAACAGTTCCGATCGCCTGTTCAGACTCAACCTTCCTGCTCCGCGGTCCGGGCGAGGGTGGGCTCGCCCCGGTGCCCGCCGCGTCCCCCCAGGTCCCGGGCCCCGCGGGCTGCAGGGCCCAGGGCCGCGCTTCTCGCGGAGGAGCTGGTCCCCACCTACTTTCAGATCCCCAACCGAGGCGACCGGAGGGGAGGGCAGCGTTTTCAAGCACTCCTCTTGCCCCCACCCCGAGACTTGCTCTTGTGAAAGGGGGGGGGCGTCTGCCAATTCAGCACACACTCCGGGGTAGATGGGATGTTCAGTGCGGCGCTTCCCCGGGGCTGCACCCCGGCCCTGAGGGTGACCCAGAGGGGTGCCAGCGCCCTGCTCCTCTGGACGAGGAAGCGAGGCCGAGAAGCGGAGTGGCGGGAGAACAGGGCGGCTTTGTTCCGCTCCGGGAGCTGGGGGCATTCCGTGCGGAGCAACCTCTGAACTGGTGGGTGGGCGGCTACCTACAGGCCTGCATTTCTCCGAGTTCCGCAGGCCCAGGCCCGGCGCCCGCCGGGGCGCCCGGAACACCAGTGCCTCGCGGCCTTCCACCCAGACGCTTGTTGGACTCGGGGACGGGGTGGGGGACAGGCAGGCTCTGGCTCGGAGGTGGCACCGCAGGCTGTGGGGGGCCTGCCTGCAGGACGGAAGGACAGATGTCCCCAGCCCTCAGCAGCAGCAGCAGCAGGGGCCCTGGCCTACGGGTGGGGGGAGGGGACCCCGCCTCAGACGGACGACGGAGGGCCTGTCTGCAGGGAGGATTAGCTCACACGTTCTGGTTGGCCTCACTCCGTGCTCCTCACAAAATAACACCGGTGTTTGTTTAGTCAAAGGGCACCGGCGCTCTCGCGGCCTCTGCGCCTCTCTCTCTCGGGGAGGAAGCAGGAAAGCTGAGCACCGCCCCCTCGACGGGTTTTCCTCTCGTCAGGGCGAGAGCCTCCGCTGCGGCTCGGACCCCTGACGGCCCAAGTGCCAAAAATCTCAACTTTGAAAGGCCTGTGGTTTGAACAAGAAGCGGTGATAAGAAATGTGGTAGTGGTGGGGGGGCGGGAGACTTCGAAATAAGTGTCCAAGGGATGACAGTCAAAACCTCAACCATTTTTAAAGACGTTTTTAATAGCAAGAGCTGGCTCTGTAAACACTTCCTGACGTTCACACCTTAACCTTTTCTAAATGGAGATGAAATGGCAACAAGCACCGGCTACGTCTTCCTTGACTCAGGCTGCGCCCAAGACGGCAGGAGGCGCCAGGCCCGGGCGCCCCGGCCCCCGCTGAGCAGGCGGCCGAGCTGCGGCTGGAGGCGCCCGCCTGGGGCCCGCGGGCTGCGGGAGCTGCCGCTCCGAGGCCTGGCACTGGCGGGACCGGGCAGGAAACGGCAGCCTGTGCTCTCTAGCACTTGCAGGAGGATGTCTGCCCTTCTACAGTGCGAGCACTCCCTACGCACGGGCAGGTTCGCCAGCTCTCTCAAAGTAATCTGGAGAAGCCGCCTGCGTGGGACGGGGCCTCGGGAAAGGTGTCGCTGGCCACCTCGGCGCCTCCAGGGGCTGGTGGCCACCCCTGTCCCTGGGCCCCCAAGGGACACAGGGGACTGCCCCGCGGAGGGTGGGGAGCTGTCAGCACGGGACTCGCCGTCGCCCGGCTTCAGAGCCCTCACCAGGCCACCCCGTGGCTGTAAGCAAGCAGCCGGAAACCCGGCGGTAACTTTCCAAACTGTCCCGAGACACTTCCTACGGTGGAACTCTTGTGTCCACAGGATTAAAAACGGCTAGGATCAGGGGCTGCGTTCGGACAGCAATTCGGATAGCCCCTGCCGGCCAGCCCTGAGCTAGATCAGCGAGGAGGAGGCGGATTTGGTGGCCGGCGCCTGGAGAGAGCGGTCCTGGGGGAGCGCGGCCCCCACACCTCGCTGACTGGTCTTCGAAGCCACGGGGTGGCCTGGCCCCACAGCGCTGGAAACCAGGCCATCCCTTGTCCTCTCCCAAACATCACTTCCTCCCAAAGCGTCCTCTGTGGTTCTGCCGGCCCGACCTCGCCCAGTCCCTGAACCGTCCGCGTTCGGGCTGAGTTTTTACCACCGGGGCTCACCGCGGGGCCGCACCCGCGAAGGCCGGGCGCGCGCACTCAGCGCTAGAGAAGAGGAGACACCTATTGGCAAGAAGTCGCGCTCGGAATCAGGGCTTCTCCGGGGAAACACCAGGGGGACACCGCTTCCCAATCTGTGCAGCGCGCTGGGGACACGCGCCCTCCCCGCGCGCATACGCCGGGGGCCAGCTGGGCTGCCCTGGAGTCGGACCCCCGGGGCGTGAGGGCGGCACAGGCGCCGGGGAGGCGGTGGCCGTGGCGGTGGCGGTGGGCTCGGGGCTGGGGGCGCGGGGGCCAGAGCTGGGGGGCCGCGAGGGGGGCGGTGGCCGCCGGCTTACCTTCCTCCGCCGACTTCATGGTGCCGCCGGCGGGCGGCGCGGGCCCCAAAGTTTCTTCCCTCCCGAAGACTGCAGCCGGAGCGCCGAGTGGAAACTTGGAAGGGGCTGGAAAACTGGTACTTGGCATCCACGCGGCCGCGGCGGCGCGGAGCAGGAGGAGGAGCGGGCACCGCCGGGGTCGGGCTCCGGGGCGGCAGACTCCCCGGCGGACGCGCGCTGCCCGGGCTCAGCGCCTCGCTCCCCGGAGAAATGTCATCGAGGGGCGTGTGCGCGCGCGTGGCGGGACGGCTGCGGCCGGGCCCGCGTGGGGTGGCGGGGGGCAGTGGCGGGGTCGGAGGCGTGCGCCCGCGCCGGCGGCGGATCCCTCGCCGAGACTCGGGAGTCTCAAAGTCTCGCTCTGACTCTGACGCAGGGCCGCGCTCTGCCTCCTGCCTTTTTAAAGCTGGAAAACACCTCCCCCGCCTCCCGCCGCCCAGCCGCTCCCGAGCCCCCTCCCTGCCGTGACATCACGCCCCCGCCTGTCCGGCGTGGCGCGGGGACCGGTGCCGAGCGCCCGCCCCTCCCCGCGAGGCCGCCCCTCTCGGGCCAGGGCGCGAGGGCAGCAGGCAGGGGTGCGCGTGGGGGCACCCGGCGCGCGGACCGACCCGGACCGGGCCCGGCGGGGTCCCGAGAGCCGCCCTCCGCCCAAAGCGGGCGGTGGGGGCGCAGGGCCGAGGGGCTCCGGAGCGCGGCATGCTGAAGTCATTATGTAAAATCGCAGGCTTCCCCGTGGTGGAAATTTGGAAAAGCTCTCCCCCTGGCAGGCCCGAGAAAGGAAATTCCCACCCCGCCAAATCACTAACAGATTGCGCGGCGGTACCTCGACTCTCTGCCGCTTCCCTGCGAACGCCCGAGCCCTCCATCCCGGGCGCGGGACCGGGGGCGGGGGGGCACCGGGGAGCTGCGCGGCCCCTCCCCGGCTACCGGCCCCCGGCTGCACAGGGGACCCGCGGGCGGGGCCGCCCCGGGAGTCCCGCGCCGACGCGCAGTTCGCGTAACACTTTCCTCTTTCAAACTCTCGGCCTCGGCGCAGCTCGGCTGCCAAGCGGGACCCTGTTTTCTCGTTGGCCGCGGGTGGAAGGGCTTGGAGTGTTAGGGCGGTGAGACTGTCTGGTGTGCAAACCCCATAAATCTGCGGCACGACACCCTTCGTGTCTTAAAATAAACCCACACGGAAAGGACGCGTCTGCTGCCAGGACCCAGGAGGCCTGCGGGGCGCCGGAGGGCTCCCCAGTTGCCCAGGCCCGGACCCGGAGAAAAGGGGGGCGCAGCCGCAGATGGTAGGACGCCGCCCAGCGGCGTCCGCGGGCAGAGCCGAAGCCTCTCTCGCCCCGGGTCTCGCGCCGGGCCGCCTCGTCTCTGGGGTGTCCGGGTGGGTGTCACACTTTCGTGCCTCTGCTCTCAGGCGGAGCCGGGACCCCGGCGCGGGGAGAGGGGGGCCCGCGGGTGGGGGGCAGGGGACCCCGCAAGGACGCCGGATGCTCCCGCCCGCAGCGCGCGGCCGCCAGGGGGCGCCAGGGCCGCGCCGCCCTCGCCCCGCCCCCGCCCCCGCCCGTCTCACAGGATCGCTCCGCGCCGAGTCCCGCTGTCCCCAGACCCGGGTGCCCGGCGCGGCCGAGGGTTTCCGTTTCCCGCCCCGCCCCCCGCCAGCACGTTGCCGGGACGCAACGGGAGGAGGCCGGGTGTTGGGGGCGCGGCGGCGCCGGGTCCCTCGGGTCGCGTGAAAGTCGAGTCCGACCCGTGCGCCCCTCCCGCGCCCCCACGCGCGCAGGCGGCCCGGGCCCGGAGCCCGCGGGACCCGCAGGGGCGGGAGGGGCGCCCCTGCGCGGAGCGCTGGCCGCCGCGGCGCCCCCTCCCCCTCGACAAACAGCGCTCGCCGCGTCCAGAAAGGCGCTTTCCTGTCTGCGCTCAATGCCCTCCTTATTCCTCCGCCCGGTGACGGAATCCCCGTCTGTTTCCCTCTGTTTAATGCCGTTGCCGGGACCACGGTGGCCGCGCGCCAGGGCGCAGGGAGTTCCGGCGTCGGCGGCGCAGCCCGCGGCCAGCGCGCCCCCGGCCCCGGCGGCTTCTGCGGCCGCCGCGGCCCCCGGGCTCCGTCCTGCGGCCGCGGCCCCGGCGCGCCCCTCCCGCCGCCCGGGCCTCCCGCTTCCTCGGGAGGTGTGTTTATAGCCGCTACCAGGAGAGACGTGACACGGATTTTATTTTAAGAATGGGTGATGACTAACGAAGTTAAAAAGGAGCTTAGGGCAGAAAACAAGGCTATTTTTAGATCGCTGTTGTTTCTGTGGATTATTGGGGCGAAGACACCCCAGAAGCTTACCACTTTCAAAGTCCCCTTGGGTGCCAAGTCCTTTCTCCTGGAGCGCGCGCGGGATGTTCCACCCGGCGCAGCATTTTCTGGAGACCCGGGCGGTCACGTTGGTTGGGTTTGTGTTTCAGCGCAGCTGCTATGGAGACCGGGCCTCAGTGGTGTGGGCGGCCGGCCGGGTCAGGAGGACCTGAGAGCGCGCCGGCCTCCTGCTCCGCGAGCCCCAGGGGACCGCGTGGCGCACCTGGCGGGGCGCTGCCCGCCCTCCCCCGGGTGCTGCGCGGGGGCCTGGCCAGGGCCCCTTCCCTGCCGTTACTCAGCGGGACACACGCAGGTGCCACTTGTTGCTCGGGCACACCGCGCACACGTCTGCGGGCCCACTGTGCACGCTTGCTCGTGCTGGGGCCGCACTCCGAGCCGCAGCGCGGGCCGCTCGGACACGTCTGCACTGGGGAGCACGCCGAGCTTCTGGGTCCTTTCTCCGCGGCACGGTTCCGCCTGCCGGCGCCTTTCCGCCCGCGGGGAGGAAGCCCGCAGGCCGGACAGAGGCGCGGGAGCTGGGCTGGGGGACCTTGGCGCTGGGCCAGAGTGTGGAGCTGAGCAGTAAGTTAAGAACTGAGGACGACGCAGAGGTCATTTACTTTGAGGGAAACTGCTGAGATTTTGTAAAAAGCCAACGCAAGTAAATCTCACAGCCGTGGCTGGAGCCGAGGAAGAAAGGGCTTCCCTGGATTATCCTTCTGTGTCCACACATTCAGGCGTTCCTTTTACGTTTGGGGTGTTCTTAGAGGAGACCCGTGAGTTTGGGGTCCAGAGATCCCGCACCGTGGAGTATCTCCTCAATGCCCCCCTCCGTGGGTGGTTGCCAAGGCCGCCTCCGTTGGCCTTCCGCCCTGACCTCATCCTGAACCCCAGATCTGAAACCTCAGTCCACCAGCTTCCCCTCACAGAGCACGTGCCTGGGGCATCCGGAGACAGTCCACACCACTCCACGTGGCCGTGGTGGCCTTCAGCCTCCACCCCGCAGCAGCCACGCGGGGGCCTCCCAGGGCCTGGTACCCCTCCGCCCCCCCACACTGAGATGCAGTATTATGCCCCCCCACCCCCACTTAGTTGGTGGTTTTCAATCTGTCATCTCATGGCACACGCAGACCACTTACTCCATTCTGCAGCACACCGAAAACATACCGTATATTTTTGCCAATCAGACAGAAAATAGTGTAATTTTGGTTCGTTCACATGGGACTAGCGTCGTGTTGGCCATAGTCGTTTTTCTTGGTTTGTTTTTTTGTTTTGTTCGACCATCTAAGGGGAAAAGAGGTCCGTGCCCCTGACTAAACAGTCAGGCACTGCGCGGTTTAAAATTCACACCGCACACCGGGTAGAAGTCGCTGATTCAGCCAATCACCAGAGCCTCGTTCCGATCCTCCATATCTGCCCCCCCTCCCCGTTCCCGGGTCCTCATCGCATCTCCGAGGAGTCTTTGCCCACCTCCCCACCCTGAGTCGGCACCGCCCAGTGCGGTGACCTTACACGACCCCAGTTGTCTGGCCCAGTACAGGGTGGGGCAAATGTAGGTTCACCCGTGTGAGTGCATGACGCACGAAGTCCATTCCTCTGTCAGTAGCAGTTACTGTGGGATCTTCCCTGCAAGCAGCTGGGAGCCCACCTTCGCCCCACCCCGTGCGCTGTCTCCCGGAACGCTCCTCGGGCGCAGGACTGGAGCGCCACCCTGCTGCAGGGCTGGGTGCTCCGCCGCCGCCGGGGCGTCCTGCTGGTCTGAGGGCCGGTTGCGTCTCTGGTTCCCGCGGACGCTCGGTGGCCTGGTCGTTGCACCCCTTGTTCACAGGGGCGCCCCGCAGTCTCCGGCGGGGAGTTATTGCGGGACTGTCCAGTTCCCCCCCGTTCCTTCGGTTTCTGCTTTGTGTAGTTTGGGGCTCCGTTATTAGGTGCCCGTGTGTTCCTGCTTGCTGTGTTTTCCTGGCGGGTTGGCCTCTTATCACCGTGAAACACCCCCCTTTCTCCTCAATGACGCCTTTGGCTGAAACCCACTTTGCCAGACATCGGTGCGGCCACCCCAGCTTCCTGTAGTTGCTCCTTGCACAACTGTGTTTCTCCACCTTTGAATCTGAGGTGTGTCCCCGTAGCCCTTGGAGTTGGACTACGTTTCTGGTCCAGTCGGACGGTCTCTGCCTGTGCCGGTCTGGTTTAATCCGCCCCACTCAGTGTCGTTATCGGTGTGCACCTTCCACGCCACGTTCCTGTTTTGTTTTTCTCCCGTCCTTTTTCTTCCTCTCTCCTGCGTCATTGCTTTCTCTTAAGTGTATTTTTTCTAATGTAGCATTTCAATTGATTTCTTTTTACTTTTTCTGAGTTACGTCCTTAGTGATCGTTCTAGGGTTCATCACACATGAGAACATCACTGCCAGCTCCAGGCCGGTGCTACACACGAATGTTAATCCTGTGTCTGCCCCTCCTTTCCCCGCATGGTGTCGAGTCGGACACGTTGTGAACGGTGATGTCACAACCCCACAAACACTATGATAATTATTTCTGTGCCGTCTGCCGCCATTTCCTTAACCAGTGCAGCTTTGTCCGGCCAACCTCTTCTGTGTTGTTATTGGAGATATAGCACAACCTACTATATTTCTATTAATCCCGTCCCCATGTTATGTTATGTTATGTATACATTATTCTGTACAATTGCTCTTTCAATCAGTTATGAGGTGAAAAATAAACATGGGAACTACCTTATAAAATCGTGTAACCACTTTTACTGGGACTCTGTTTTTCATGTGGGTTCAGTTTCTGTCTGGGGTCACTTGCTTTCAATCTGGAGAAATTCCTTTAGTATTTCTTTTCTTTTTTATTTTGAAGATTTTATTTATTTTTAGAGAGAGGGGGAGGGAGGGAGAGAGGGAGAGAAACATCAGTGTGTGGTTGCCTCTCACGCCCCCTACTGGGGACCTGGCCTGCGACCCAGGCATGTACCCTGACTGGGAATTGAACCGGTGACCCTTTGGTTCGCAGGCCAGCGCCCAATCCACTGAGCCCCACCAGCCGGGGCTTCCTTTAGTATTTCTTGTGAAGTGGGTCTGTGAGCAGCAGATTA